TTATGGGGTAGAGACATCCTAACAGAAATGGGCCTTACCTTAACCAATAATTATTCGCCCTCAGTTAGAAACATGATGGAAAAGATGGGGTTTCAAGAAGGCCGGGGCTTGGGACGTCTTGAGCAAGGCAATCCCCGCCCTATATCACCCCGACCTCATAAAGGTAAAACGGGCTTGGGTTTTTTCTTGAGCGCCACTGAGGCAGCACGACCCATACCTTGGAAGACGGAGGACCCGGTATGGGTTCCTCAGTGGCCATTAACCTCCGAGAAACTGAATGCCATCATGAAAATAATTACAGAACAGCTTTGCCTTGGTCATATAGAACCATCCACTTCGCCTTGGAATACTCCGATTTTTGTTATCAAAAAGAAATCGGGAAAATGGCGCTTGTTGCATGACCTAAGGGCCATTAATGCACAAATGTTACTATTGGGTCCGGTCCAGCGAGGATTGCCTCTACTCACTGCCCTGCCAAAAGGGTGGCCCCTTCTGATCATAGATATTAAGGACTGTTTTTTCTCCATACCCTTACATCCCGTTGATCGCCCGCGTTTTGCCTTTACGGTACCTTCTTTAAATCATGCAGAACCAGATAAGAGATACCAATGGAAAGTTTTGCCTCAGGGAATGGCCAATAGTCCAACCATCTGTCAGTTCTTTGTTGATCAGGCACTTGCCCCAGTTAAAAGACAGTTCCCGCAGGTCCTGTCTATCCATTATATGGATGATGTGCTGTTATGTCATCAAGATCTTACAGTTTTACAGCAAATGTTCCCTGTCTTACAAAAGCAATTAAGTCAATGGGGACTTTCCCTAGCCACTGAAAAGGTACAAATAACCGACTCCGGATCATTCCTGGGCTCGGTTATCCGACCTGATTTCATTAGACCACAGAAGGTTGAAATTAGAAAAGATAAGTTACAAACTCTAAATGATTTTCAAAAGTTATTGGGTGATATTAATTGGCTAAGACCTTTTTTAAAAATTCCCACCATTGAATTAAAACCTCTATTTGATATTTTAGAAGGGGACCCGCATATCACCTCCCCAAGGAAATTGGATCCCTCGGCAAGCGAGGCTCTTTGCAAAGTCGAGAAAGCTATAACTCAGGCCCAGCTGGATAGGATAGATTATACCCAGCCAATTTTGTTATGTGTCTTGAACACACAAGGTCTACCCACCGCCGTTGTTTGGCAACAAGGGCCTTTATGCTGGGTCCATCCTCGAGCTTCCCCTGCTAAAATTGTTGATTGGTATCCAGCTGCTGTTGCACAATTGGTTATAAAAGGCATTAAAATGACAATAGAATACTTTGGTCTGGAGCCTAATATCATTGTTAGCCCCTATACTCCGGATCAAATACAGGTTTTGGCCGCCACCTCTAGCGACTGGTCAGTCCTATGTGCTTCATTTTCAGGGACCTTTGATAATCATTATCCCAGGCATCCACTTTTACAGTTTGCTTTGGCCCAGCCTTTAGTTTTCCCAAAAATTACCTCTAATACCCCAATTAAGAATGGGATAGTAGTATATACAGATGGTTCTAAAACAGGACAAGGGGCCTATGTTGTAAATGATATGACTTATATAAAACATTTTCCTGAATCTTCCCCACAAGTCGTTGAATGCCTCGTGGTATTAGAAGTTTTACAACAATTTATGGGCCCACTTAATATTGTTTCAGATTCATTATATGTAGTTAATGCAGTTAAAATTCTTGAAACTGCCGGGTTGATTAGACCTTCTAGTAAGGTGGCTCACATATTTGAAGCCATTAGAGCTGCTCTGCTGCAAAGGCGGCATCCTTTCTTTATTGAACACATAAGAGCTCATTCTGGTCTTCCCGGCCCCATGGCAAAAGGGAACGCGCTCGCTGATCAAGCCACTAGACTTGCAGCTGTTGCGCTTTCTTCACCCATAATAGCTGCAAAAGAATTTCATAATAAATTTCATGTTACTTCAGAGACATTACGCAGACGCTTTTCTTTAACCAGAAAAGAAGCTAGAGATATAGTGATACAATGTCAAAATTGCTGTCAGTTTTTGCCTGTCCCCCATCGAGGAATTAACCCGAGAGGTTTGATCCCCTTACAAGTTTGGCAAATGGATGTTACCCATTATGTCCCTTTTGGTAAATTGCAATATATACATGTTTCTGTTGATACTTGTTCTGGAGTATTTTTTGCCACCCCACTTTCAGGGGAGAAGGCTTCTCATGTGATTCAGCACTGTCTTGAGGCCTGGAGTGCCTGGGGCAAACCCCGCTGTCTTAAAACCGACAACGGGCCTGCCTATACTTCACAAAAATTTAAACAATTTTGTGCACAAATGCAAGTTACTCATATTACTGGATTGCCCTATAATCCTCAAGGTCAGGGCATCATTGAGAGAGCACATCGGACACTTAAATCATATTTATTAAAGCAAAAAGGGGGAGCAATAATGGAGCTACCCCTGGACCGAGAGTGGCCATAGCCATGTCACTCTTTACCCTGAATTTTTTGAACTTGGATGATTCAGGGATGAGTGCGGCTGAGCGACATTGCACAGAACCTAAAAGGCCCAAGGAATGGGTGAAATGGAAAGATGTGCTAACTAATCAATGGAAAGGCCCGGATCCTATCCTGATAAGGTCCAGGGGAGCTGTCTGTGTTTTTCCACAGGATGAAGACAATCCGTTCTGGGTTCCGGAAAGACTCATTCGTAAGATGGGGAACCCTGATGATAATGATCATGGCTCAAGCCTGGAGGGCAACGGGAGAAAGAAGATGGGGAATCATGTCGACCTTTCCCCTCCCCATGCCGGTAATGTATAATGCACAAGTGTTTCCTAGATTTTTTTTCACCAATAAAGAGCTAGGGCTAGCTTATTTGCCCCAAGATAATCAGATTCATGCAGTACAAGAAAATCGCTCCCTCTCCTTAAGAGGAAGCTTATGCTTTCATTTTTCCAAAGTAAATGATAATAAAAATAGTATTAACTGTGTTAATTTGAGGAATCAATCGGCTGCCTGGCAAGGCGAGGCTAGTTGGGGAACTGATTTAGAGATTGTAGCCAATGCATCCGATGTTGAGCGCTGCCGGTTAGTACTAATGCTACTCCCCATGATCAGCCAAAGTTAGCCCCATTTTGTAAAGGGATTCAATCAGAAGAGTATATCCTGCCTTGGACTGAATGTCAATCTAGGTATCAACACTGGGTAGGCCCTAATACCTTCACTTTCTCACCCAGCCTAGGGCATCATTTTTTGAATATGACACCCTTGACAACTTGGGTCAATCCCTTTGACGGATTTGACTCCTATGGTAATGATAGGAGGAGGAGCTGGGGAAAAAGGACAAATCTCTTACAATTGGAAGGGCAAATTTTCGGGGGATCTGGCTCCGGCACTTGGCAAGCTTCGGATATGAAGCATAAAGAATTTATTAGAAAAGAATATGCCCCATCACCAGTTTGTGTTTGGCCCCCTTTTTATGGATTGTAAGCAATAATTTTATAGGTGAGAATGAGGAATTAAGATGTGATACCAAGAGCTGCTTTTATACATTATGCTGGGATGCCACGAAATATTCTTATGCTGTGGTGACTAGAATGCCGAGGTTTGTGCCCGTGCCGGTGAAAGCCCCGAGTAGCTTGTCTCTGCTACGCACAAAAAGAGATTTCGGCATCTCGGCCATAATTGTAGCCATTGTGGCCACTACAGCAGTGGCTGCCTCTGTGACCGCCTCGGCAATGGCCCTATCCACATCTGTACAAACGGCAGATACTCTTGATGGTCTTTCATCATCAGTATCAGTGGCGCTCGACCGACAAAGTTCGGCAAATACTCAAATTCAGGGAGGGTTGATGCTGGTTAATCAGCGCATCGACCTGGTTCAAGAACAATTGGATATTTTATGGCAATTGGCGCAGTTAGGATGTGAATATAAAATGCCTGGACTTTGTGTTACATCAATACAATATGAAAATTTTATTAGAGCGGCTAATTTGTCCAAAAGTCTTTCTCAGTTCATTTTACAGAATTGGACATTCGAATTTGAACAGATACTGCAGGACTTGAGAACAGCGATCCACCAGAATTGATGTCTCCCTACAAGAAGGACTGTCGTCATGGATCTCTTCTGTCTTCTCTTATTTCAAGGAATGGGTGGGGGTGGGACTCTTCGGGATGTTTCTCTGCTTCGGGATGTTTCTCTGCTTCGGAATGGCAATTTTATTCTTTTTGTTTTGCAAAGTGTTCAAAAAGGCAAAAACAGATAAAGTCATGATTACACAGGCACTCGCGGCTCTAGAGTATGGGGCCTCGGCGGAGGTCTGGCTCACCATGTTAAAGCGTGGAGAATAGCCTTTGATTATCCCCATTTCATTCTGGCTTTCCCTGTCACCTTGGCAGACTCCGGCTATATTTCTCTGCCCCTGCTTCAATAGATCAGCCTTTGCACCTCTGAGTCCGAAATGTTTTGGACATTTGCACCAGAGAAGGTGATCATTGATATTGCAGCCTTTGCACTCCGCTGAGCTCGTCTCATTGCACGCGGAAAGGTGCTATATGGGGTATATTCATCTGTTTCGAACCCTGATGGGCTGCAGAGCCTGATGGTGATCAACGGATGTAGGCCATTCATCTGGTTTCTGTCTCTGGTGACGAGGTGGCCATTAGCTGTCGGCAGAACAGCCCTTGCACCCTCAGCGACTTTGTTGCATTGCACGAGGATGGGTGTTTTAGCCTATGCAGCCCAGTTGGGACACTTTTGTGTGCTTTTATTAAAATAAAAAGGGGGAGATGTTGGGCGCTGCCCTGGAACCACGCCATGGCGAGATGGCGCTGACATCCGCCTGACAGTTGCAATGACAACCCTGCTGCGCATGAGCAGGAGCTCCCTGCCCACGAGGCCGGGGGTGCCTGTGCCTTACGTCACCTCGGGTGACATAATTGGACCAGTAATTAACTGCCACGTCCGAGGCGAGAGAAACTCTCTATATAAGGAGAGTCCCGTTAGGGCGTGGGGTCTTCGCTTTGTGATAGCTTATGCTCCTCCTCTCAGGAGCAATGAAGCTTACTGCAGAAGGATCCTGATCGTGTGCCGCGTCATTCTTGCGGGCGAGATAGAGCGCGGGACACCTCCCCCCTTATCTTTTCCTATACCTCTTTATCTGGCCCTCCAAAATCTCAATGGCTAATTCTGGTTTAGCTTTATTAGCAGTGTAGGATTGTCAGGATGAACGGATGTCCCACAACACAGGTGTTTGGGATTTAACCTTTCACACAGTGCTTGGGCCCTGGACCCTCCCAATTCAGGGAGGCGGCGAGATAAGTACAAAGAATGTGAGCCCACACCAAGTGTTACCCTCTCTCTCACCCCTGCTCTTATTTGTTTTTATGGGAGGGGGGCTGGTTTTTGAGACAGGGTTTCTCTGTGGCTTTGGAGCCTGTCCTGGAACTTGCTTTGTAGACCAGGCTGGTCTCGAACTCACAGAGATCCGAATGCTGTGATTGAAGGTTTACACCGCTCGGCTCACCACTGCTCTGAAGTGAGCCAACCAGTAATCTTTGTTCTCTGCTTTCTGACTGCAGATGCAATGTAACCAGCCAACTCACACTCCTGCTGCTGTGACTTCCCCGCCATGATAGACTGTACCCCTGAACCGGGAGCCAACATGAAGCCTTTTTTCTTTCCTTGTTCTGTTTCAAAGAAGTAAAACCAAGGCAAATGGCCAGTAGTTATCTAGAGAGCCCACGTTTATGCCTGCTTCTTCTTACTCTTAGCTGAGTGTTCAGTGACGTTCGGGGCTGTAGAATATTCCTTTATACTGTGTGACTATGTATCACTGTGACTGGGCTAATAAGCTGACTGGCCAATAGCTGGCCAGGCAAGGGTTAGGCGGGGCTTGCAGAATACAGAGTGCAAAGAAGAGGATGAGGCTCTCAGAATCTGGAGGAGACTTGGTAAGGAGCAGAACTTTTCATACTGAGAAAAGGAATTGAGCCATGTGGCCATGTGAAGATAAGAAATATGGGTTAATTTCAAATGTAAGAGCTAGTTAGTAACAAGCTGAGCTATTGACTGAACATTTATAATTAATAATTAGTCTCAATCTGGTTATTTGGGAGAGGCTGCTGGGACACAGAGAAACTCTGCCTACACAGAGCATTTTCCTTGCCCTGTTAACTATGCCTGACTGGCTTCATGTGGGGACAATGAGGTTTCTCACCTTGGGGTTCAAGGTCCATACCAAAAGGATCAGAGAAATGAGAAATATTATAATAGGCAACGTCAGCTCTTCCGGCCTGGCATTTAGCTCAGGAAATGGACTGCAGGGCTCCTAGGCCCCCAACACAGACTCCTGGGGTTTCCAGGAGGGAAACTCAGGGGCCAGGGAACATGGTTCTTACTGGAGGCTCTGGGGGCAGCACACAAAGGTGCTTACTTTAAGAGCTGTGGTTTAGGAGGTAGCAGTGTCAACAGCTGGTGCTTGGCACCTTACAGCCAAATGGCACTTGACTTTTAGAGCTAATGAGAGTCTTCAATGACATGGTGCCCACAGAGCAGAAACAGAAAGGCTTTGCTCCATAAATGCCAGCAATTGTTCTGTAAGAAACAAAGAACAAAGAAACAAACAAAAACAAAAAACCCTCAGGGAAACCCAATGAGGGGCAGCTATGCTCCCACAGGGGCCAGAGAAAGTGACAAGAAGCAGTAACATGAGCCTGAATGGCAGAGTGAAGCTGGACATGTTAAGACTGGACAAGAAGAGGCATCCGAGGCGTGGTTCCTGGAACGCATGACTTACACATAGGTTTGTGTGCTATGTGCAAACAGAGGCAACGTCTGTGCGCAGTGTGAGCAGTACACGCATGTTGGTGTAGCAGACGCTGTATATATTTGCATGTGTGTATGATGTAACAAGAAAGTGCATGCGTGTGTGTGTGTGTGTGTGTGTGTGATGCTAATTCTGAGGGATGCTGGAAATGTAAACATTTGTGGGGCGAGTGTATGAGTGTATGAACCATATGTGTTGCTGTGTCCTCCAATCCAGTTACAATATTGATCAGAGTGTATAGGGTCTTGGCTGGGTTTTGTCCTTGAAGGCCTATGGAGAAAGGGAAAACTTGGGAGTTTTGAATCTTTGTTCTTAAGGGTTCTAAGCAGAGGAGAATAGGTAAGATATGTGTTTTGGAAAGAGGATTCTAGAAAGGTTGTCCATTCTGCTGAGGAGCAGGGAGCCTGCTTGTTGTCCCTTGGATGGTCACTAGAGGGAGACCTAGGCTCAGAAGTAGCTCTACATTGGCCTGTTGAGGGTGACTCGTCCTGTGTTGGGCAGTGTGAGCCCCACTTACACAGGTAGGGTGGCCTAGCGGGATTATCCGAGAGGGCAGGAGTAAGAGGGAGGTCTCCAGGCGGGCTGTGGAAACCTGGTCCTTGAGGCACTGTCACCGTTCAGCAGAGTCTCCTTTGCATTCTGTTACTATCTGTCCACCACTCCAGAGGGCTTCTCAGGCACATGGGGCAGACTGGTGGAAGGGTGAGTCTTACGACAAGGCTTGCGCAGGTTGGAGAAGCAGCGTCAAGCCTCTTGGGGAGAGAATGCTGGGGCCCAGGGGACAGTCTGGATGGAGGATGGTGTCAAGGGCACTGAATAACCACTTCCATTGGGTCTGTTGGGAGGGGTGTGGCTAGAGGAGGGGCACCTCCAAAGTGAGGACCTAAGGACACTGACTCTGAAACAGAAGGATAGCGTAGTGTCTCATAGCCAGCCTGTCCCACCATTCCTTTCTTCCCTTCCCCTGATCTCGTCCCCCTTCTCTTCTCCTTATCTTTCATTTGCAGTGCTGGGGGTTAAACACAGGACCTCACCCACGCTAAGCAAGAACTCTACCACGGAGCTCTGCCTGGCCCAGCTATTTGTCTGTATGCCATGTCCGGGGCAGAACCTAACAACTGGGGAGTTTGCAGTGCAATGCCTTCACTCTCCCCACCTCCTTGTTCTTAATTTTGTTTTGCTTTTGTTTGTTTTTTATTGTTGTTGGTTTTTTTTTTTTTTCCGAGACAGAGTTTCTCTGTCTTGTTTTGTAGGCTGTCCTGGAACTCTCTCTGTAGACCAGGTTGGCCTCGAACTCACAGAGATCCTCCTGCCTCTGCCTCCCGAGTGCTGGGGTTAAAGGCGTGCGCCGCCGCCGCCACCACCACCACCACCACCCGGCTTGGTTTTGGTTTTTCAAGACAGGGTTTCTCTGTATTGTTTTGGAGCCTGTCCTGGAACTCTCTCTGTACACCGGACTGGCTTTAAACTTTGAGATCCACCTGCCTCTGTCTCCTAAGTGCTGGGTTTAAAGGCGTGCGCCACCACCGCCTGGCTACTTGTGTTCTTTGCTGGTCTTCCAGCGATGAAGGGGCGCTTTCTTCCCACCCTGGGTTAGGTTTAGCCGCTGATCTAACAAATAAAACACAAGTGTCCACATTCAACTTTAGAAACTGGATCATCCAAGGTGCTGTGGCTCCCTCCTTCTCTTTGCCACTTGGATCATGGCCCAAGGAAAGGCAAATGCTGCTTCATGAGGACACTGAGGTTCTCCTGTGGAGTGGGCCACATGCTGCAGAGCTAATGCCTCTGCCAACAGCCAGTCCTGTCCCACTGAGCATCCAATGCCTCTGTCAACCCCTGCAGCATGAGAACTCTTTGGGGGCGACCCTCATATACCATCTCTGTAGGGTGTTCCCTGACAGCCTCTCTCAAGAGACTCTGAACCTCACATACCAACCTGGTATGTTCTTCCCAGGAAAGCAAGATCTTAAATAATTATCACTTGAAGTCACTAAGTGGGCTGATTGGCCGATCACACAGCTATAAATAGCCATTACATTACAGGCGTCCAGAGGGTTCTCAATAAAGAACACACTCATTTCCTACTTGGGTTTTCAACCAAGAAAGGATAATAATGAAAAGCTGACCCAGAAGACAGAATAACAGGACCAGGCAGCAGGATGTGGTCATAGGTCTTCAGCCACCATGCCGGCTACTACTGAACCCCAGGTGTCAGGTGGTCTCACCCATGCAGTCCCACGGAGCACTGACAGCAGACTCGAGGAGGAGAGCACACCTGAGCAGGTGGACTCCTGCCCGAGGGAGACAAGGAAAAGATCTGAGCCAAGGTTGCCCAGGATTTGTCCCAATCAGGAATGAGGAAGCTCCTGTTACTCCACCATATCCACTAGGGGAGAAAGGAGCAATGAAGTGGAAAGTTCCAGAAAGTCTGCTAATTAAACTTCCCTCATGGGAAGCAAATGAGAAGAGCTTCACTTTGTTTGGTCCAAGTGACCCCCAAAGGCCTTTATGGGAAAGGCTTGCTTCCCCAGCATAGTGCCATTGGGGACTGTGGACTTTTGGGGAGCAGGACCTTCTGGAAAGTCTTTAGTCCATTGGAATGCATGTTCAAAGAGGATTTTGAGACCCTGCTCTCCTCTCCTATCTCTGCTCTGAGGTAAGGGCTTCAACTCCATAATGCTTTGTCATGATGCCCTACTTCAACCTCCCAAACTGTGAACACTCATGGATCTTTCCTTCTTACAAGGAATTGCAATAAAAATAATTTTAAAAAAAAGGAAAGCTGGAGAGATGGCTCAGTGGTTAAGAGCACTGACTGCTCTTCCATAGGACCATAGGACACAGGTTCAATTCCTAGCACCCACATGGCAACTTACAACTGTCCAAAATTCCAGTTCCAGGGGACCTAACACTCATGGCCGAACACCAATGCGCATAAACTCAAAATAAGTAAAATTTACAAGGGATTGCAGCTGTGCGCTACAGTAGCAGAAAGCAGAGTGACGTAAGTGAGGAAGGACACTCTTATAGTCTTCCCTTCCACTGGGGGCCCGTCCCTGCATCTGCCACCTTTCCCCCGTGGGATGCGTGCTCTCAAATCTTCTCCATCTCTGTGCCCAACAGCCACACTCGCTGTCTCTCTCTGTCTTCTGTGGTGTCCCGGGAACTCCTGCTGACATGGTCTCCACAGAATAGAGCTCAGGACTCACTGGCCACTGTCATGAGCTTCAAACTTTCCCCTTTCACTGTTGGTGTTGTAGGGGCCAGGAGTGAAGCCCACGGCCTCAAGTGTAGCAAGTGAGTGCCCACCACTGAGCTATAGCCACAGCTCTTAGACTTGCTGCTTTGAAAATAGGGAGTTTGTTTGCAGTCCGTCTTCTTCTCCCAAGCCTGAGGTTTGTTAGATCATTCATGTGGATAGAACAGATCGCCTCTGCGGGAATAGCATACAAATGTAAAATCAGTTTTTAAAACAAAGGCCTTATCATAAAGGATCATTCTATTTTATGAGTGCGATTATGGTTTTGACACTTTCTTTTTTTATCTATTTATCTTTCTTTTTTTTTTGGAAGCAGAATCTCACTGTATATCCCGGATTGACTTGGAACTTGCAATTCTCTGGCCTCAACCTTCCAAGTGCTATGATTAGAGGCATGTACCACCACACCTGGTGTTTCTTAGAATAAAGAATTAATTGTACATGCATCGGTAACTGGTTAGCAGAGAATGAAAAATCCCAAATTCTTTTTTTTTTTTTTGTGGTTTTTCGAGACAGGGTTTCTCTGTGGCTTTGGAGGCTGTCCTGGAACTTGCTTGGTAGTCCAGGCTGGTCTCGAACTCACAGAGATCCGCCTGCCTCTGCCTCCGAGTGCTGGGATTAAAGGCGTGTGCCACCAACACCCGGCTGA